CAGTATTTTTAAAAAGAATTTATCTTGAAATAATTTTTTATGCCTTGCATATTACTTTGTTCACGTTTTAAGAGATGGACTGTGGAATTCTAGCATGCTAACTTCAGTGCTACAAAAGTGTTTGAAATTAGCTTAGATTTTGGGTGCAATTAGACAACATAAGTAGTATTTAATCTCACTACATTTTTTTGGTTTGCGAATTTGCTTAAAGGCATAGCTTTAAGTTCTAGAAAAAGAACTATTAATGTACAAAGTGGTATTTATATTGATGTTGCATGACTAACTATGGTTTTATTCTTTTTCATATCTTTTAAGAAGAAAGATATGGATTTTCTTCTGAAAATTGCAGACTGTTGTTCAGAAATAGGAAAAGAGCAAACCTATCCATGTTGACAGACTGTTTCTTAGCTCTGTTTTAAAGAGATCCTGCCAGTAATGTGAAAGGATAATTTACGCTGTATGCTCATCAGTTCCCCATCTCATACTGAAACGGCCAAACAGGATGCTAAAATAAGGTGTCATTTTAAAAACGAGAATAGTCACATATTAGATAATGAAAACAAAGCTGGCTTGTTTCAGAGAGGGTGCTGAACAGTTAGGAGATGTTGGTTGGGAAACCTAAATCTGGTGTATTATTGGTAGGTGTATTTCTGTTCTAATCTAACTCCATAGAAATTGCAGAAGCCATATTAAGCTCTTCTTCAATTTATTCCATACAGATAAAAGAATTTACATCTCATGAGTCATATATTTCCTGTTGTATCTTTAATACAGCCATTTTTAGTATTTTTCTTGCCTCTCTCCTCTATTGGTATGCTTAGAGAGTCTGTGTGTAGGAGCTTGTTTTTTCACCCGTGAGGCAAGGAGGAGTTCAAATCAATAGCAGTGTGTTGTTGACACTAAACGATGTTTCTTCTTGCCACAATAAGACTTGATTTTGTCATCCTAATGATGCTAGCTTGCTTCACAGAATAGGGATCAGCCATCTCTCAAATCAAACTTCACAAGTATTAAAAAAAGTCCTTTGAAGGAAATACTAGAGAAATACTCCAGTATTTATAAGCAAACACATACGTTGGCTTTGTAAAACGAATATGCAAGTTCTGTTACACTTCAGGGAAGCTTCTTTGCAATGCATTTTGGAAGTCTTATGTTAAAGGATGTAGGATTGATCAGAGCTGACAGTGATGAAAGCATGATGTTTTAAAAAGAAATGATGCAAACATTATTTAAAATACAAGTTCATGTAAAAGATCATAGTAAGATCTCAGCTAAAAAAACCCAACAAAACAAAAAACCTCAAGCTAGTAGAAATTCTTTATGTTTCACAGGAAAATTTTCGCAGCACTGCCTAGAAGGAGGATGTCTGCAAGAGGAAAAAGGTACAGCCAGCAAGATGTTACCATGCTAGGTCTGGGATTGCACTCTATAGCATGGTCAAACAGGAGTAAGCAGTTGCTCTTGACTTGAACTAAGGATCCCATAGGGAGACATGAGCTGTAGAAAGATGTGAATTTGAGAGGAAATAGTGTAACGATGGGAAGCAGTAGTATGATGATAGGAGCTTATGGGCGTAATGTTGGTAGCAACAGTGGGCTATTGAGAAGTACAGGGTCTTTTGTGTTGGATATCTGAAAGCAACAGCAGAGTTGAATCATCCAATTATACTACTAAAATCTCCTCCTCCTTACAACAAGAATTTTGTGCATTTATATACATATCTTTCACTATATGAAAGATGTTACTTTTTTATCTGAAAGAACATTAGAAGATATTACAGCTGCATGGTTAAACATTCATATAGTAAGTTGTGAATTTTAACTTGAATATTGAACCCCAACAGCCTGTTCTATGAAAGCCTTTTAACAGTAAGCAGCTTTATTAATAGCTATGCTCATGTAGCTTTTCTGTTCTATTTGCACTATTTTTATTGGTTTATATTTTCATGCAAAACATGGGTTCTCAGATGTTCATAGGTAAACTGCAATCTAATATTTTTGATTTTACAGTATCTCCCCTTCTGATTTCTTCTATATGATTTTCATAAAGTCACCTGACATAAACTGTCCACATATCATGATGACCTTTCCTGGAGAGGAAATGCCTCTATTTTGCAGGCAGTGAAAAAAATCTTCATGAGAATTACAGTAACTGGTAATTTCAGTAATGGTAGTGAATATAAACTTTAAGCAATATTTTGTGATTTTTTTGAAAGCATGTTAACTGCAGGAAGTGTGTAGCACCTAAAAGATGATGACCAGCAGCTTCAGAAATGTAGCTCATTGAGTTTATCTACCTCAAATCCAGAAAGTTTTTGATGGTTCTTCTTCTCATTGAAATAGGTTTTAATGAGTTAGATCAAGTCTACATCAAGAGCACTTTGCCAGTTTATTTATATTAGCAATA